GAGAGAGAGAGAGAGAGAGAGAGAGAGAATCCTAAGCAGTCCCCACAGTCAGTGCAGAGCCAGATGTAGGGTTCAAACTCAAGAACCAAAAGGTCATGACCTGTGCTGAAACCAAGAGTCAAATGCTTAACCAACCGAGCCACCCTGGTGCTCCAATATGCCATTCCTTTTTATGGTTGAATGATATTTCATTGTATGGATGTGCCTCATTTTGTTTGTCCATTCATCCATTGGTGGACATTGGGTTGTTTCTGCCTTTCAGTTCTTGTGAATAGTGCTGCTATGAAAATTTATGTACAAGTTTTTGTTTGAGACCCTGTTGTCAGTTCTTTTTGGGGGTATCTACCTGGGGGTAGAATTGCTGGGTCATATCAGAATTCTGTGTTTAACATTTTGAGGAATATCCAGACTGTTTTCCTTAGCGGCTGCAGCATTTTACACTTCCACCAGCAGTGTATGAGGGAGGGCTCCAGGTTTTCCACATCCTGTTGGCTGGGATTTTATTTGATGCTGAGGCTTGATGACCTTGTCATGATCATTGTCATGACTTTTATTTATTTATTTATTTTGAGAGAGAGAGCGAGTAGGCACATGGGGAGGGGCAGAGAGACAGAGGGAGGGAGGGAATCCCAAGCAGGCTCCATGCCTTCAGCACTGAACCTCAGGCAGTGCTCAATCCCACGAACTGTGGGATCATGACCTGAGCCGAAATGAAGAATCGGACGCTTAACTGACTGAGCCACCCAGGCACCCCTGTCATGACTGTTTTTTAACGCAGGAACATTCAGGAGACCCAGATGAAGTATTTATCTGAATGGGACCAGTGGAAACGGTATAGCAGCAAGTCTTGGAAGAGGTTCATAGGGAAGGCTCGCGAGATGACGACCCACCTGGAGCTGTGGCGGGACGACATTCGCAGCATAGAAGGTACCACGCCCCACACTCTGCGCACGGGCTCCGCGCTCCTTGGCAGGAGTCTCCCGTGCCCGGCGGAAAGTACAGCTTCGTTTTCTCTAACCTCTAGATGAAATTTAGCACTTCTTTCCATGATGGATGGGAGTAACAGCCCCAGTTAGGATTAGCAGAACTGTGTCTTTGTCAGCAGGAAAATCAGATATTTTCCTATCCCTTCCGGCTGTAATTGTCTTGGAACACCATTTATACTCATCACTACTTTGAAATTGTAGCAGTTAACCTGCAGGATCTGCCACTAGGTCTTGTTATTTAATGTGCTAATGAAGATGCTCCTATATTATTGTAGCACACGTTTGGTTTTTCATATTATAACCGGTTTTTTTTTTTTTTCAACGTTTATTTATTTTTGGGACAGAGAGAGACAGAGCATGAACGGGAGAGGGGCAGAGAGAGAGGGAGACTCAGAATCGGAAACAGGTTCCAGGCTCTGAGCCATCAGCCCAGAGCCTGACGCGGGGCTCGAACTCACGGACCGCGAGATCGTGACCTGGCTGAAGTCGGACGCTTAACCGACTGCGCCACCCAGGCGCCCCTATAACCGGTTTTTAATATTATAACCATAGGTCTATTTGTATTTGGGGCATTTAAAATATTATTCTGAAATAGGGTTCATTAGGCTTCACTGGACTGTCAAAGGTGCCCGTGGCCCTGAAAATACCAAGGATCCGTCCTTCCCCATATTGGGGGGAATTGGGCTGCAGGATTCCAACAGTCAGCTCTGGTTGCTCTAATCAGATACTATAGACAGGGTGGCCTCAACGACAGAAATTTATTTTTTTATAGTCTGGAGACTGGAAGTTCAAGACCAGGCTGCCTTCTCGCTGTGTCTTTACATGACCTCATCTTTGTGTGCTCTTGGGAAAAGAGGAGAGAGGGGGGTGGTGAGAGAGCTTCAGTTCTGACGCCTCTTCTCGTAACGTCACCAATCCCATCATGGGGCCCCACTCTTATAACTTCATCTAAACCTAAACACCTCCCAAAGACTCCACCTCGAAATACCATCAGATTAGGGCTTAGGGATTCAGCATATGAATTTCAGGGAGGGAGGAGACACAATTCATTCCATAGCAAGTATACAAAAAATTGCAAGTTGTGCCACAATATAAGATTAGGAAGAAACATTTCAACATTTGGGTGACATAGCAGGGCCAGGGAGAAAATACCTCTTAGGGTTACGTAGCCATAAAGCAAAAACAATTTACAAACAACTCCTCAAATCTGCTAAAGTGGGAATTTTGTAAAGTTTGTAGTGAATGTGGCAGGATGAATGGAAGAAATGCGGTCAATATTACTATTTTAAGACCTATAAAATACTCTTGGTAATTTATTCAATAAAATGCTTTTTAAAATTGTTCTATTGGGAGAATATAAACACAATCACAAGGGACTTCATAGGCTCACTTAAAACTTAACCATCTGGGGGGTGCCTGGGTGGCTCAGTGGGTTAAGCATCTGACTGCAGCTCAGGTCATTATCTCATGGTTCGTGTGTTCAAGACCCACATCGGGCTGGCTCTGTGCTGATAGAAATTCTGTGTCTCCCTCCCTCTCTGCCCCTCCCCTGCTCTCTCTCTCTCTCTCTCTTTTCCCCTCCTCCCCCCTTCAAAAATAAATAGACATTAAAAACAAACAAACTTAACCATTTAGCCGTACTTTTTTTGCGATCTAAGCACATCATGTTTGGAGCAAAATAATAAAAGCTGACCCCAGTTGAGCCTTTATTATCCAGTAGGTGTTGTGTTAAAGATTTCACTCATAACTAGCTGAGTTAATCCTCACAAGAACTTTTCATATAGGTATTTATCATTCGCATGGCTCTGATGGGTTAAAATACTTGGCCAGGTTCACTCAGCTAGGATGAGGCAGCCCCAGGATTTGAAGGGTTTGATCCTGGCAGTCAAGCTTCCATGCCCAGCTTCCTTTCTGGTTTAGTGATGGCCTTTCTGGAGGTTTTCATTCAGAAAGGGGCTTGTGAGAATTCAGAAACGGGTTCATACAGTCATGGTCAGTTACAAAAGCACCTATTGCAATTCACGGGGGAAAGGGTAGCCTTTTTAGTAAGTGGTGCTGAGTCAATTAGATATTCATATAAGAAAAGATACTGAGTCCTACCACACACCATTGTCAAATAGCTAATTCAAGATGGAGTGTAGATTTACAAGTGAAAGAAGGAGAGCCTTAAAGCCAACAGCAGATACACAAAATGTTTCTTCCTCCCTCCCCCACCAAGTCCCTCAGCTTTCTGGCTGATTGGATGTATCGCGGGTAGTAGGTGTGGGTCGATGCTCCTGGTTGGTGATGTCTGGATTTCTTTTTTCCAGGGAAGTTTGGCACTGGGATTCAGTCCTATTTCTCCTTCTTGCGGTTTCTGGTGTTGCTGAACTTGGTGATCTTTCTGATTATCTTTATGCTGGTTTTGCTCCCCGTCTTGCTCACCAAATACAACATCACCAACAGCACCTTTGTGCTCATTCCGTCCAAAGACACGGGTGAGTCTGAGGCCTGGTTTGCTGTGAGAATGTTCTTGTCACTGTGTGCGTATCTACCACTTGGGAGGAGCACTGTGGGCTAGGAAAGTGGAATATTTAGCAAGCATGATATAACCTACTCCAATAACTTTATTTCGAGACTTTTATCTCTGATAATGGTGACACTCAGTTCCCACCAGTTATGTGCCAGACATTATAGCAAGTGCCGGACATGTATTTCTTTACTGAATGCTCAACAGGAAGTCACATCTTTTGGGCATTCTGTTTATTCTAATGTGGAGGGTTTCTGTCATCCACAGACATTTATCGATTCCCTTCTTGATTCCTAGCTCTGTGCTAGGGGCCAGAAGTAGGGTGAGCTGAGTCAGTGCCAACTTATGTTAGAATTATAAAATGGGAGAACTGGAAATTAGCCTTGGAGGAACTGGTGCAACAACTTTTTTTTTTTAGTAGCATTCACACCCATTGTGGAGCCCAATGCAGGGCTTTAAGTCCCCACCATGAGTTCCAGACCTGAGCTGAGATCAAGAGTCAGATGCTTAACTGACCATTAACTTTCTTCTTTTAACAAAGGGGAACTGAGGTTCAGAGAAGGGTTCAGAGATTCAGGGTTCAGAGGTTCAGAGATTGGGTTATTTTCCTCAATTTGTCACTCCCCTATAATTGTGACTTTGTAGGGCATCCCACTGTGGCAGAGAATACTTTCTGCCCTGTTGGTATTCCAGTTGGCCATGTGACTTGTTTTGTCCAGAGGAATATTAGCTTGAAATGGTTTATGTGGTTGACGTGTCTATGAGAAGAGTCCTGGGGAGGGCCCATTGCCTCAGCCTGGGCCCCAGAATGAAGTGATATGGTGTAGACTTGAGCCCAGCTGGAAGACTGGAGTCCGTCCTAGCTCAGCCTAAATCAGCTACATGAACTCAAACTGTAGCTCCATGAATGAGAAAATATATATTTAGTATGTTTAGTAACTGAGGCTTTGAAGTTATTTGTTACATAGCAAAGGTAACTGATACAGAAAAAGTGAATTAGCTGTTCAAGGATAAGGTAGTTTCACTAAAATTAGTATTCAGATAATCTCTTGATCATTTGTACATATGTAAATATAGGTTGTTTTAATGAAGCTGCATGTTTATTTACACACCTGGAAAGATCTTTTAAAATTGGATGTGCTTACAATGGAATAACAATACATCAATCACATATTCCAAAACACGTGCAAACATGAACCCTAAAGCACAAAATACCAATATAAACAAAACACATGCTATAAGTAGACCCACATACATGTACAGAAACATGTACAGAAAAAGACACACATCCACAGATGTGTAGGAAGAATAGCGAGAGGGGAAAATGCTGCTGTACTTGGTGTATTGAGGTTTGGACTGCAGACAGAAAACCACAAGTTCATAAACACATCCACACATAATTATATGTGACATGTCTAAATATATATACATATGCATGCATATGTACACAAATTATGATAGACAAATTGTAGAGACTGTGAAACTATTTCCACTGACGTTCTTGTTTTTGTTTTTTCACAGATGTTCAATGCACAGTGTATCCAATAAGTAGTTCTGGACTCATTTACTTTTATAGTTATATCATAGACTTGCTCTCTGGCACTGTAAGTATTTCACATAATTCTGTATTTGGACCCTCGATATACTGCAAATAGGTTAATTTAAAATTTTTAAAAATGTTTATTTTTGAGAGAGAGACAGAGACAGAGTATGTGCAGGGGGGAAGCAGAGAGAGAAGGAGACACAGAATCGGAAGCAGGGTCCAGGCTCTGAGCTGTCGGCACAGAGCCCAGTGTGAGGCTCAAACCCACGAACCGTGAGATCATGACCTGAGCCGAAGTCAGACACGTAACTGACTGAGCCCCCGAGGTGTCCCAAAAAATAGGTTAACTTAAAGATCAGTTTCCTGAGTATCTGTGGTGAGCCAAACACAAGAGTTGACCACCATCGGCAAGGATAATGTTCACCCACCTGCTGCTAGATTATACAGGAAATGGGCTTTGTCACTTTCAGCCTTTGGCCTTTCCTTAGTCCCTGCCACCTTTGTATTGACCTATAGCAGAATACTGAGCTCTCCCACAGAAAGAAGTTTCAGTGAAAATAAACCCAAAGAGAATTTATTTAATTTCTCAGACATTGTAATACCTTACATTTTGGGGTCTTCAGCCACCCGGATGAAAGCCTGGACTCTTCCTCCCAGAAATTACACACAAAGACCTGAGTCACACACACACGTTTGTACACATCCATACACATTCCCTGAAATCCGGAGTTGATTAATCCCAGGTTAACCCCCTGCTCTAAAGTGGAACTAATCTCCTCCTTGCTATAGTAGTTCCAAAGGGTTTTTATCTTCTTTCTTCTAAAAAAAAAAAAAAAATGATTTTTTTGTGCGCTTCCATTTGTTTATCCCACTTTTTCCAGGAAATGAGATTGCAGCTATGGAAAATGGCCATCTCTGCCTTCTAGACCAGTTTTTCTCAACCTCAGCACGACTGATGTTTGAGAGCCATACTTCTTTGTTGTGGGGGCCGTCCTGTGCCCTGTAGGAAGTACAGCGGTGTCCCTGGCCTCTACCTACTGGACGCCCGTAGCAGCCACAGTTGTGACAATCAAAAATGTCTCCGGACATTGCCAGATGTTTCCTGGGGGACAAAATTGCCTCTGGTTAGGAACCACTCCTTTAGAGGGGTGCCTGGCTGGTTCAAAATAGAGCCTGTGACTCTTGATCTCACGGTTGTGAGTTCTAGCCCCATGTGGGGCATGGAGCCTACTTAAAAAAAAAAAAAGAACCACTCCTTTAGATGTTTAAAAAATACAAACATATAGGGGCCCCTGGGTGGCTCAGTCGGTTAAGCGTCCGACTTCGGCTCAGGTCATGATCTCACGGTTTGTGAGTTCGAGCCCTGCGTCGGGCTCTGTGCTGCCAGCTCAGAGCCTGGAGCCTGCTTCGGATTCTGTGTTTCCCTCTCTCTCTCCCCTCTGCCGCGTGCACTCTGCCTCTCGCATTATCTCAAAAATAAATAAACATTTAAAAAAAATAAAAAATACGAGCCTGGGTGAGCGCCAGTGAGTAGCGTCCGACCGCCAGCCGGTCGGATCCGTTGAGGTTCGAGCCTTGCGCGTCAGGCCCTGGCGTGATGGCTGGGAGCTGGACTTTTCGATTCTGTGTCTCCCTCTCTCTCTGCCCTCCCGTTCATGCTCTGTCTCTCACTGTCCCAAAAATAAATAAAAAACGTTGAAAAAAAAAAAAAATAAATAAATAAAAAATACAAATATATAAAAAGTCTTTCTGAAAGTTACTAGTTTTCATTTTATTTATTTATTTTTATTTTATTTTTTAAATAGACTCCATGCCCAGCATGGAACCCAGCCCAGGGCTTGAAATCACGACCGTGAGATCAACACTCAGGTCTGATCAAGAGTCAGACACTTAACCATCTAAGCCACCCAGGTGCCCCTGAAAGTTACTTCTGCTTTACCGAATGTGCAAAGCTTTGAATTTGTCCATTGCATTTGATTTCGAAAAAGTGGTTTTTACATCTCTGAGCTTATGTTTTTCTCACAGCAATTGAGAGGAATTATCAGACACATGTTAAAATGTCCCTATGCAAAAGAAGAAACAGAAGCTGTATAAAATATGCAAGGGGGAAAGAAATTCAGTGAGTAACTCAAGGTCGCTAATGATAGCAAAGTGGGACCAAATTCCCAGAACTGCTGTTAGGCCCCTTTCTGTAAATTACATTCCACAAGAAAAGTTTCTTTTTATAGATCTCCACACACCATAACCTTTTTCCTTATAGGAGAAATTATAGGAGGCTTAGATGCACTTGATCATAAATGTTTAGCATACCATGATAAAAGGAGAGATGGCCAGAGAGGTTAAACAATGGCTTGTCTTTGCTGAAAACAGTTGAGCTCATGATCAAATCAGATAAATCTTTTTCCAGGCCCACTGGATCTTGGCCCTATAATGTTACATTATTTTGAAGGGGAGATACTGATGACAGACAGCCCTGATACCGACCTGGGCCAATGAAAACAGGTTTCGTGTAGTTGGGCAAGTTTTTGTAGCCTGTGTACCCAGCCTTCAGAAGAATTAAAGATAGAATCTTCTGTTTCTACGTTTTTATTTCTAATAAAAATTGACTTAAAGGAAGCCATGATCTCGTGGTTCGTGAGTTCAAGCCCTGTATCAGACTAGAAGCAGAGCCTGCTTGGGATTCTCTCTCTCTGCCCTTCACTCGCTCTCAAAATAAATAAATACATGTAAACATGTATTTAAATACTCAATATAACAATATATGGTTATCATAAAAAATACAAAATTTATAGAGTAAAAAGTGAAAGTACCTCTCCCCAGAGGCCACCTAACCTTTAACACTGGTTCATAGCCTTCTTGACCTTTCTCGTGACCTTCTGGTTCACAGCTTTTTTGACTTTACTCCTAACCTTACTTTATATGGTCTTACTTCATATTTTATAATACGGATTTTTCATGGTCCAGACAGCCTTCTATTGCTTCCATATTCCTCCTTTATAAATGATACTATACTGAACATCTATGTACCTTGTATACTATTCCTGCTTTCTGTATATATTCCCTTTCCACTCTCCTACAGTTTTCCTGCTGTCAAAGGAGAAGAGTGAGGTGTTTGGTTATTCCCACCCTGAGTAGTCTGGGGGCTTTTCTACGCTATATTTTTACATAGGGCACCTTTGGGGTTTTTGTTTTGTTTTGGTTTGGTTTGGTTTTGGTCTTGTTTGGTTTTGGTGAGAGCTTTATTGAGATATAGTTCATGTATCATATAGTCCATTTAAAGTGCACAATTCCATGGTTTTTTTGTGTGCCATCATTGCCAATCTTAGAACACTTTCATCACCTCAAAAAGAAATGTTGTGCCCTTCAAGTATCACCTACCAATCCTAACCAGCCCTGAGCAACCATTAATCTACCTTTGTGTACAAAATGCTCATTCCTGACATTTCATATACATGGAATCATACAATAGGTGGTTGTTTTTGTTTTTGTTTTTTGTTTTTTTTTTGTCTCTGGCTTCTTTCATTTAGAGTGTTTTTAAAGGTTCACCCATGTTGTGGCATTTCTCAGTCTTGTTCCATTGGAACAAGATTCCAGTTGTGTAGATTCCATTAATAAGATTCCATTGTGTAGATACACCACATTTTGTTTATCCATTCACAGTGGACAGTTGGATTGTTTACAACTAGCGATTCCACACCTATACCTAGGAGTGAAATCACTGGGTCAAATGGTAACCCTGTGTTTAACTTGTTGAGGAACTGCCAGACTTTTCCAAAGCAGCTGCACCATTTTCCATTCTCACCTGTAATGTTTGAGGATTCTGATGTCTCCACATTCTTATCAACACTTGCTATTTACTGACTTTTTGATTATAGCCACCCCAGTTTGTGTGAAAGTGGAACCTCTTTGTGATCTTGATTTGCATTTCCCTAATGACTAATGGTGTTGAGCATCTTTTCATGTGCTTATTGACCATTGTGTATCTTCTTTGAATAAATGTGTATTTGGATCCTCCTTCCATTTTTAATTGGATTCTGTCTTTTTATTGTTGAGCTATAAGAGTTCTTTTTTTTTCTTTTAAGATTTTCTTTTTAAGTAATCTCTACACCTAACGTGGAACTCGAACTCACAACCCTGAGATCAAGAGTCTCATGCTTTATCAACTAACCAGCCGGGATCCCCAGGGATTCTTTATATATTCTAGATATAAGGTCCTTATCAGACACATGGTTTACAAGTATTTGCTTTTATTCTCTGGATTGTGTTTTCACTTTCTTGATAGTATCCTTTGAAGCATAAAAGTTTTTAATTTTGATGAAGTCCAATTTATTTTTTCTTTTATTGCTTGTGCTTTTGGTGTCATACTTAAGAATTCGTGGACAAATTCAAGGTCATGGAGACTTTAGTCCTCTATTTTCCTGTAAGAGTTTTCTAGTTTGGGCTCTTGCATTTAAGTTTTTGATCCATAAGTTAATTTTTATATATAGGGTAATGTAGGGGTTCAACTTCTTTTTCTTTTCTTTCTTTTGCATCTGCTACCCAGCTGTCTTAGTACCATTTCTTGAAAAAACCATTCTTTCCCTTTATCAAAAATCAATTCATCATAGATGTATTTGCCTCAATTCTATTCCATTCATCTATGTCTATTTTTATATTACTACCACAATGTATTGATGAGTGTTGTTTTATAGTAAGTGAAATTGGGATGTGTGAGTCTTCCAACTTTATTATTCTTTTTCAAGATTGTTTTGGCTATTCTGGGCCCCTTACAATTCAATGTGAATTTTAGGATTAGCTGGTAAATTACTGCAAAGAAGCCACCAGGGATTCTGATACAGATGTGCTGAATCTGTAGATCACTTTGGAGATTGCCATTATTCTCCTGATCCATGAACATGGGATGTTTTCCACTTATTTAGATGTTTAATTTTTCTTAACAATGTTTGATAGTGTTAAGAATGTAAGAAAGAAAGAAAGAAAGAAAGAAGAAAGAAAGAAAGAAAAGGAGGGGGGTGCCTGAGTGCCTCAGTCAGTTAAGCGTCCAACTTTGGCTCAGGTCATGATCTCACGACTCATGGGTTCGAGCCCCATGTTGGGCTCTGTGCTGACAGCTCAGAGCCTGGATCCTGCTTTGGATTCTGTGTCTGTCTCTCTCCATCCCTCCCACACTCATGTTCTGCTTTCTCTCTCTCTCTCTCTCTCAAAAATAAACATTAAAAAAAAAAAAAGACTGTGCGATTTACACTTCATGTTTTAAATCTATACCTAAGTATGTTATTCTTTTTGCACATGGAATTGTTTTCTTAATTTCATTCTTGGATCATACATCTCTGTATTTTTAATGCTCGGGTTTTATCCGTGCTTTGTTCCCCAAACACTAACCAAACATGCCTTATGATTCTGGCATTGTTCTGGTGTCTGGGAATTCAGGGATGAACAATGACACTGGAATGTGAGTTTCTTGAGGCAGAGACTGGTCTCCTGTTCCCTGAAGTGAATTCACCAGTCTGACCTCATGCCCTTGGTTTTGTTTCAGGGTTTTTTGGAGGAGACCTGCCTCTTTTATGGACATTACACCATTGATGGGGTGAAATTTCAGAACTTCACCTATGATCTGCCCCTGGCTTATTTGTTAAGCACAATTGCCTACCTGGCCCTGAGTCTTCTTTGGATAGTGAAAAGGTAAAATTTATCTCTTCATTGTGTTCTTTTTGCATTACCTTTGATGGCTGGGGTTTATTGGAGGTCTGTGGACTCTTGGAGCCATTGCCCAAAGGATGAGCAGAGGCCAGGAGTAGGATTTGGGAAGAAAGGTCCATGAGTCTTTTGCAGGCTGGGGAGGCCTGGAGGAAATGGAAGCAAAATTTGGGAGCTGGAGCAGAAGCCTGGGGTGCTTCAGTCAGTCATAATTACACACATTGGCCAGCACCATAATGTAACCTTACCTTGGATCTGGTGTGGATGCTAATCAGGTCTCTACTGGGTTGCAAGTGTTAGAGACCCTACTCTGATTAACTGCGGTAAAGGGGAACTGAGGGGCTCAGAGAACCAAGGTAGGGAGGAAGCTCCAAATTATAGGAAGGGTAAAGATATAGGTATGTCTTTTAAACAACCAAAAGCAAGGGCTCCTTCCTCTCTGATTCTCCTGGTGGCAGCTTCCTTACATAGACTCTCAGTCACAGGTTCAGAAATCCTTTTGAAGAGACTCATTGATTCTGCTTCATTCAGGTATCCAAACCCGACCCTTCAAGTAAGGTCAGCAGGTCAAGGTCATAGGAGAACGTCTCATTTTCCATGGTAGACCAATGGTTCAGTGGGAGATGCCAATTCCCAAGACATGAATAGCAAGGAATATTAATTACTTTAATTACTAACAAACGACTGTCCTAAAAAGTACCAACAGCCAAACAATAGGAGTTGTATATCTTTCTTACATGAAGTTCTGAATAGAGACACAGGTTACTGTGGTAGACTCCTTCTCAGTCATTCTGGGATTCAAGTTTACCAAACTTCAGCCATTTTCAGCATTGGCTAAAAAGGCAGGAAGGGAAAACAAATGTGGAGGAGTATCACATGGGAGGTGTTTATAGGCTAGGCCTGGAAGTGATGCACATCGTTCACATTCCATTAGTTATAGACCAAAGATAACTGTGGGGGAGGCTGGGAGATGTCCCTGGCTGGCAGCTGTTTTCTAGCACTAATATAATACTATAGGAGAACCGCAAGTTTTTAATGGACAGCTTGCTCGCTCTGCCCCAACGATGTTGGTCGGCAGGCAAGGTTATGGGTGGACACCTCTCTTACCCGCTTCACTGTCTACATGAGAGCATAGGTGCTATAAGCCATGGGGCTCTGAAGCTCCTTATCACAGGCATAGAAGGGACCAGGATGTTGAGGACTGAGTTGCCCTCCACAGAGACTAGGATTTATCACCACAGAAAAAGCCCCAGAGACTAGCTGGGCACTCATATCTTGTGTTGGCATCTATGAGATGAAAATTAAGTGCTGTGTGTCCATCGCCCACTCAAATGGGCAGCATACTGATGCAAAAAAGCAGTGGCTCGTTTTGAGAGCAGAGAGATGCATGGTAGAGAAATGTTAGTTGATTGGGGTCTGGCTTTGCTACTCTATGATTATGGCAGGAACAGATCCAAGTTTTATGGGCCTGCGGTTTAGACAGTTTGGAGGGGCCCTCTTTAAGATGAAGAATACAAAAAGGTCTTGTGTAAAGTCTGAAAAAATAAACACAACAGGGCCATATGAACACATTGCTGGAGGCTCTCCCAGGACCTTGGAAGGAGTCCTAGAGAAGATTTAAGCTTTATTAGCCGAATAGTGACTCCACCTTCAGACCTTGCCCAAGCTCCTCACCTCAGGGCTCTGATTGCTTCCTGAGGAAGACTGGAGGGAGGCCTGGGTGTGATGTCATGGGGAAAGTCTATCCCAGGAGGAGGAAGTGCTATTAACAGCAAAGAGCCTGGACTTCGGGGTCCAGAGACCAAGGTTCAAACACCCCTTCACCTCTGTGAGCCTCATTTTCTTCCCCTGTGAAATGGAAGATTAACTGAAACAAGGCAGGTAAAGGACTTAGTACTGGCACCTTCCAGACATTTATTGAATTAAAATTACCATCGTTGTCACCGTCAAATTAGCCCCAGTTCTTGCCCTCACTCTCTGGATCTAGGGAAATAATTTTTCCCATCTCTGTATCTCTGCTATCTCATCTGTAAAATGTAGTTTTGGTCTAAATCATAGGGTTTCAACTGGGATAGGACCTCAGAATCCCCATGGAGCTTGCTAAAATAACGTATTTCTGGACCCCACGTGGGATCTCCTGAATTAGGAATCTCAGAGTGTGAGGCCTCCTGGGCGTCTGCATTTTGGAAGAGCACCCCAGGTGGTTCTGATATACAATTTTTGCTGTGACCTTTTGGCAGAATGACTGATAACTGTAATTTCCTTATACTTCAGCTGTCTTTACAACTCACTAGCAAATCCTAAAAATATCCTGTTGTCTCTACACAGTCTGTGGCATTCGATGTTTTCGTATCATCAAAGGCTGGGGTGTATTTTTTCCAGGAAGGCATTTGAATGAATTAAAATTGTGAAATGTGCCACCGAGTGGCATCTGACCTAAATAGGTGCTCACTAAATATTTGGCTATTTTACCATTTAAGTCATTTATACATTGATTTATCCATCAATTATATTTGGTCATATTATGGTCCAGGCATTCCAGATATAAAAATGGCCAGATAGCCAGGGTACTTGCCCTCAAGGAATTTAAAATTTAGTCAGGTTGGGGTGCCTGTGTGGCTCAGTCAGTTAAGCGTCCGACTTTGGCTCAGGTCATGATCTCGCGGTTTGTGAGTTCAAGCTCCAGATTGGGCTGTCTGCTCTCAGCACAGAGCCCGCTTCAGATCCTGTCTCCCTCTCTCTCTGCCCCTCCCCTGCTCATGCTGTCTCTCTCAAAAAATAAGTAAACATTAAAAATTTTTTTAATTGAGTCAGGTTAAGGGGCTGCAAGATGATTGCAGATTAGGTTCATTGCCTTGAAGAAAATAGACTAATTTGAAGTGGGGGTCACAACTTTAGATGGGGCAGTGAGGAATCTTTGCAAGGGATATTTGAGCTGAAACCTGAATGATGCAAAAGGAGCAGCCTTGGGAAGAGGCAGGAGAAGAACTGTCCCAAGAGTGGGTAGAGGGTCCTGTAAGTACAAAGGCCCTGGGGCCGGAGAAATTTGTGTGTTTATAGAAAGGAAACAAAGCCATGGTAGTTACAGCAGAATGGCCGTATGGGAGGTAGGATGGCACAGTGCAGGATCTCGAGGCTGTGTTAAAGAGTTTAGATTTATTCCAGCTGTGAGAAAAGCCACTGGGCAGATGACATAATTGTCAACAAGCTACCTGTTTAACTGCCACTCATATTTAGAATGGTCCAGAACGTGTCCATGTCAAAATGAGTGGAAAATGCAGCCATGCATTTTTTTTTAAATTGTAAACAAAGGCAATCGGTGGGCCTGTATGCTGTTCTTAAAAGAAGGGGAATCATGTCTTGGGCTCAGGTCAGTGGAAGGGTTCAAAATCAACCTGATCCGGAGCGAGGAGCACTTTCAGAGTTACTGCAACAAGATCTTTGCTGGCTGGGACTTCTGCATCACCAACCGTAGCATGGCGGACCTGAAGCACAGCAGCCTGCGGTATGAGCTCCGGGTGAGTGCTGCTGGCTTTTCCCTCAGCGGGTTCCTTGCCAGCAAAGTTGCACCTTGGAAAGCGGGGATTGTAGCTTGCAGAGCAGCTGGGTCGGGGCCAGGCTGTCTTCAGTACTCAGCAGGTTTCCCCAGTGTTGGTTTCAAGAGCTTTCCACGGAGGGTGCCACTGGGTGGTTCAGTCGGGTAAGTGTTCGACTTCAGCTCAGGTCATAATTTCATAGTGTGTGAGTTCAAGCCCCACATAGGACTCTGCATTGGTGGTGCAGAGCCTGCTTGGGATTCTCTCTGTCTCTCTCTCTGTCTCTCTGCCCCTTCCCCACTTGTGCTCTGTCTCAAAATTAATAAATAAACTTAAAAAAAAAAAAAGAGCTTTCCACAGAGATCCCCTTACCCTACTCATGGAGCTGATGGACTGGGGATTGGAGGAGATGTGGGGACATGATGGTGGGTGGGAGGGGAGAGTATCTTCCCTCCTTCCCCACCACCTCATGCTGTTATTTTTCCACCTGTTGAGAATCTGTCATGCATCACTTATACCAGGAGAAGCAACTAAGGGGGGAGGCCACAACGATAAGGTGGAGTGGAGAATACAAAAAAGTACAAACGAATTTCCAGATTCATAAGGGGAGAAAGAGGAACAAATAGTATCTTGACCAAACCTACCAAAAAAAAGAGGAGGGGACAATTATATCAAAACCATAATAAAGTAAGATGGAAGGAATCAAATTAAATGTATTATCTGTTTAAAGGAATGGCACAGGGTACCTGGCTGGCTCAGTCAAGTAAGCGTCCAACTTCGGCTCAGGTCGTGATCTTGCAGTTCATGAGTTCAGCCCCACATTAAGCTTGTTGCTGTCAGTCTGTCAGCACAGAGCCTGCCTTGGATCCTTTGCCCTCCTCTCTTTCTGCCCCTCCCCCACTCACGCTCCCTCCCTCCCTCCCTCTCCCTCTCTCTCTGTCTTTCAAAAAATAAATAAAACATTAAAAAAAATTTAAAGGAATGGCACATACTGCATGTAAGTAATGTCATGAATAGGTTATGCTTCCGTTTTCACATTTATTGTGGAGTCTAACTGTTGCCTTAAATAGGAGGCTCTACCTTGACTTAGGTCTTTAGTAGACACGAAGACTAGTTGAGCTTGGTCTGGGAAGATACCTGGGGGGAGATGAATGCTTAAGGAAGGTCTTATAGATGGCTGGATAGGGCACGACGGTGAATCACATGTTCAACCCCTGAATATCGCTTCACCTAGTGCTCACAGATGAGTTTTCTTTGGCCCTCAGGCAGATCTGGAGGAAGAAAGAATACGGCAGAAGATAGCAGAGAGGACCTCGGAAGAAACAATACGGATTTACTCTTTGAGACTGTTTTTGAACTGCATTGTTCTGGCTGTTTTAGCTGCATGCTTTTATGCAATTTATAGAGCAACGATATTCTCACAAGAGCACATGAAAAAAGTGAGTACTCTGTGAAAGTCAGTTTAACTTTTGCTTTGGCTGGACATTTTGTAGGCCAAGTGCATTGTCTGAAGTGGATATAAATTTGGCTGATATGACAGAGAACTGGAAAATCAGAGGTGACCAATTTCCACTTTGATTTTGTTTTATTTATTTATGTATTGTTTTAAAAGTAGGCTTCACTCCCAGTGGGGAGCCCATCGTGGCGCTTGAACTCACAACCCTGAAATCAAGACCTGAGCCGAGATCAAAAGTTGGACACTAAACTGACTGAGCCGCCCAGGAGCCCACAATTTCCACTTTTAATAAAAATACAAAAGCATCCAAAAAGAGTGTTTGGAATTCCTCCTGGAATCCACAGGATTCAAAATTCAGGCTTGCCTGCCTAGATTTAATCGCCAACTCCACTACTTACTAGCTGGGGCCCCACTTTACCTAAAATAGCAGTTGTTTTAGGGGCGCCTGGATGACTCAGTCGGTTAAGCGTCCGACTTTGGCTCAGATCATGATGTCGCGGTCTGTGAGTTCGAGCCCCGCTTTGGGCTCTGTGCTCACAGCTCAGAGCCTGGAGCCTGCTTCGTTCGGATTCTGTGTCTCCTTCTCTCTCTGCCTCTCCCCCACGTGTACTCTGTCTCTCTCTCTCAAAAATAAATAAAACATTTAAAAAAGTTTAATAGCAGTGGTTTAAAAAAGCCAAGTTCGGGGGCGCCTGGGTGGCGCATTCGGTTAAGCGTCCGACTTCAGC